ACGTAACATTTTCAACGGAGTGCTCGATTTCGTTAAAAATGGAAAGCATTTAGCGAAAGGACGCGTTGATTACTGTAGTAATCAGGACGTGACGACTGTGGGATCGTAGCAGCGACCAGGGTGTGACAACTGTGTGGTCGTAGCAGCGGCCAGGGTGTGACGACTGTGGAGTCGTAGCAATGGCCAGGGTGTGACGACTGTGGAGTCGTAGCAATGGCCAGGGTGTGACAACTGTGTGGTCGTAGCAGCGGCCAGGGTGTGACGACTGTGGGGTCGTAGCAATGGCCAGGGTGTGACGACTGTGTGGTCGTAGCAATGGCCAGTGTGTGACGACTGTGGGGTCGTTGCAGCGGCCAGGGTGTGACGACTGTGTGGTCGTAGTAGAGGCCAGGGTGTGACGACTGTGTGTGGTCGTAGCAGAGGCCAGGGTGTGACGACTGTGTGGCCGTAGCAGAGGCCAGGGTGTGACGACTGTGGGGTCGTAGCAGCGGCCAGGGTGTGACGACTGTGTGGTCGTAGCAGCGGCCAGGGTGTGACGACTGTGGGGTCGTAGCAGTGGCCAGGGTGTGACGACTGTGTGGTCGTAGCAGCGGCCAGGGTGTGACAACTGTGTGGTCGTAGCAGTGGCCAGGGTGTGACGACTGTGTGGTAGTAACAGTGGCCAGGGTGTGACGACTGTGTGGTCGTAGCAGAGACCAGGGTATGACGACTGTGTGGTCGTAGCAGCGGCCAGGGTGTGACGACTGTGTGGTCGTAGCAGAGGCCAGGGTGTGACGACTGTGTGGTCGTAGCAGCGGCCAGGGTGTGACGACTTGTGGTCGTAGCAGCGGCCAGGGTTTGACGACTGTGTGGTCGTAGCAGCGGCCAGGGTGTGACGACTGTGGGGTCGTAGCAGCGGCCAGTGTGTGACGACTGTGTGGTCGTAGCAGCGGCCAGGGTGTGACGACTGTGTGGTAGTAGCAGTGGCCAGGGTGTGACGACTGTGTGGTAGTAGCAGTGGCCAGGGTGTGACGACTGTGTGGTCGTAGCAGAGACCAGGGTATGACGACTGTGTGGTCGTAGCAGCGGCCAGGGTGTGACGACTGTGTGGTCGTAGCAGCGGCCAGGGTGTGACGACTGTGTGGTCGTAGCAGCGGCCAGGGTGTGACGACTTGTGGTCGTAGCAGCGGCCAGGGTGTGACGACTTGTGGTCGTAGCAGCGGCCAGGGTGTGACGACTGTGTGGTCGTAGCAGCGGCCAGGGTGTGACAACTGTGTGGTCGTAGCAGCGGCCAGGGTGTGACGACTGTGGAGTCGTAGCAATGGCCAGGGTGTGACAACTGTGTGGTCGTAGCAGCGGCCAGGGTGTGACGACTGTGTGGTCGTAGCAGAGGCCAGGGTGTGACGACTGTGTGGTCGTAGCAGCGGCCAGGGTGTGACGACTGTGTGGTCGTAGCAGCAGCCAGCGTGTGACGACTGTGTGGTCGTAGCAGCGGCCAGCGTGTGACGACTGTGTGGTCGTAGCAGCGGCCAGGGTGTGACGACTGTGTGGTCGTAGCAATGGCCAGTGTGTGACGACTGTGGGGTCGTAGCAATGGCCAGGGTGTGACGACTGTGGGGTCGTAGCAATGGCCAGTGTGTGACGACTGTGGGGTCGTAGCAATGGCCAGGGTGTGACGACTGTGTGGTCGTAGTAGAGGCCAGGGTGTGACGACTGTGTGTGGTCGTAGCAGAGGCCAGGGTGTGACGACTGTGTGGCCGTAGCAGAGGCCAGGGTGTGACGACTGTGGGGTCGTTGCAGCGGCCAGGGTGTGACGACTGTGTGGTCGTAGCAATGGCCAGTGTGTGACGACTGTGGGGTCGTAGCAGCGGTCAGGGTGTGACTTGTGGTCGTAGCAGCGGCCAGGGTGTGACGACTGTGTGGTCGTAGCAGCGGCCAGGGTGTGACGACTGTGTGGTAGTAACAGTGGCCAGGGTGTGACGACTGTGTGGTCGTAGCAGAGACCAGGGTATGACGACTGTGTGGTCGTAGCAGCGGCCAGGGTGTGACGACTGTGTGGTCGTAGCAGAGGCCAGGGTGTGACGACTGTGTGGTCGTAGCAGCGGCCAGGGTGTGACGACTTGTGGTCGTAGCAGCGGCCAGGGTTTGACGACTGTGTGGTCGTAGCAGCGGCCAGGGTGTGACGACTGTGGGGTCGTAGCAGCGGCCAGTGTGTGACGACTGTGTGGTCGTAGCAGCGGCCAGGGTGTGACGACTGTGTGGTAGTAGCAGTGGCCAGGGTGTGACGACTGTGTGGTAGTAGCAGTGGCCAGGGTGTGACGACTGTGTGGTCGTAGCAGAGACCAGGGTATGACGACTGTGTGGTCGTAGCAGCGGCCAGGGTGTGACGACTGTGTGGTCGTAGCAGCGGCCAGGGTGTGACGACTGTGTGGTCGTAGCAGCGGCCAGGGTGTGACGACTTGTGGTCGTAGCAGCGGCCAGGGTGTGACGACTTGTGGTCGTAGCAGCGGCCAGGGTGTGACGACTGTGTGGTCGTAGCAGCGGCCAGGGTGTGACAATTGTGTGGTCGTAGCAGCGGCCAGGGTGTGACAACTGTGTGGTCGTAGCAGAGGCCAGGGTGTGACGACTGTGTGGTCGTAGCAGCGGCCAGGGTGTGACGACTGTGTGGTCGTAGCAGAGACCAGGGTGTGACGACTGTGTGGTCGTAGCAGCGGCCAGGGTGTGACGACTGTGTGGTCGTAGCAGCGGCCAGCGTGTGACGACTGTGTGGTCGTAGCAGCGGCCAGCGTGTGACGACTGTGTGGTCGAAGCAGCGGCCAGGGTGTGACGACTGTGTGGTCGTAGCAGAGACCAGGGTGTGACGACTGTGTGGTCGTAGCAGAGACCAGGGTGTGACGACTGTGTGGTCGTAGCAGCGGCCAGGGTGTGACGACTGTGTGGTCGTAGCAGAGACCAGGGTGTGACGACTGTGTGGTCGTAGCAGAGACCAGGGTGTGACGACTGTGTGGTCGTAGCAGCGGCAAGGGTGTGACAACTGTGTGTGGTCGTAAGATAGTCTTCCGGGAGACTACCAGTCCAAAAAACGTGTCCCGGTATTTCCCGCCAAGACAACTGGCCAAGAGTATATTATTCCAGGAAAGTGTCTTTAAGAACCATCATTGTGAAAACACCGAGTTTGTGCACACCGTTCACGGCCCGTGTCCCCCCGCGCCTCTGAGGCCGACGGTCCGCTAGGCTACGAGCAGGCTTACAAGGAGCACTAGGAGGCTATGAGCACTCCAGTCTTAGGTGAATAAGTGTTTATTTCCACGGAAGTGTGGATGACAGTTTTACTGAGGTCATGGAATGGGATTGAACCTGCAGCCCTCGACTTCCCAGCCCTCAATATTTTCAAATTGATATATCACATTCTTATGATTGCATGGTGAAATTAGTTTGCAACATGACATACGTTGTTTCAAAATGCAGTTATACAATGTAGTATTAATACATTATAGTATTCTGTAAAGGTCGCAGTAATGATGAAAATGGTTTGTAATAATGATGGTTGAATCTGTAAAGACAATGACTATCGTCCTGGTGAAATTAATCAGTCTGCGGCTTAGGCCGCTATCATTATTTTATAATGAGCATATGGACTCGATATTTTAATATTTGAATGTTAATGTATTTTTTTTAATATTTGTATACAGTATATTGAGAGTTTTATTTTTACTGTGGATTAATATGTGTGTGTGTGTGTGTGTGTGTGTGTGTGTGTGTGTGTGTGTGTAATTACCTAAGTGTAGTTACAGGATGAGAGCTACGCTCGTGGTGTGTGTGTGTGTGTGTGTGTGTGTGTGTGTGTGTGTGTGTGTGTGTGTGTGTGTGTGTGTGTGTGTGTGTGTGTGTGTGTAAGTGTGAGTGTGTGCGCGTGCGTGCGTACTCGCTCTCTCACCTATTTGCTCTCACCTAGATGTGCTTGCAGGGTTCGAGCTAAGCTCCTAGCCCTGCCTTCCGAACGTTCATATATTAATGAATGACTCATTTCACATGCTTTTATTATATTTACATTTAAAATTTTGAATCGAATTAGGTTCAAAGACTTCTTCGTCTAACCTGTTCCACTTATTGACACCTCTGACGTTGAAAAACGTCTTCCTGACGTCTCGTGTCTACTCTCTATGATCCCTCGTTCTATTGTCCATACCTTTGAATTATGCTGCTTTGTGAATTTCCTTTAGAATCTTATATGTTGCTATCATGTCCCGCCTATTTCTCCTTTCCTCCAGTATAGTAAGGTCCAGTTCTCTCGGTCTAGGTCCAGTTCTCTCGGTCTATTCTCATAGCTCAACCTCTTCAGCTTAGAAACGTGTCTCATTGCATATCTTTGGACGTTTTCTAGTTGCTCCTTGTCCTTTTTCAGGTAAGTGTTCCATGCTGGGGATGCATATTCCAGTGTGGGTCTCACCTCCGCTGTATATAGGGCCCCGGAAGGTACCTTTGTCCATGTTTCTGATACCCGGATGTTGGCCAGTGTGTCACCTGCAGCTGTTGGTATTCTGCTAATGTGGGCTTCTGGCATCAGATTTGGGGTTATGTCCACTCCCAGGTCTTTCTCCTTTTTTTTTTATTGAAGGTTCTGTCTTCCCTTCATCCTATACTGCTGTACTGGTCTTCGCACTCTTGTACCAATCCTCATAACTTTGCATTTGGCTGGGTTAAATTCTAACAGCCATTTTTCAGACAACTTCTGGAGTGTCCAAATCCGTTTGCAATGCATAACAATCTACACCTGTGTTAACTCTTCTCACCAGTTTTGCATCATCGGCAAACATTGTTATGGACCGAATTTCCTCTGTCGAGTCATTGACATATATTAGGAACAGTATGGGCCGTAGAACTGACTCCTGTGGTACTCCACACGTAACCTCTCTCCACTCTGATGTCTGCTCTCACTGTAACCCTCTACTTCCACTCTGATGTCTCTGCTCTCACTGTAACCCTCTACTTCCACTCTGAGATGAGTAGTGGAGGCGGAGATGGTGGAATACGGCGGGTTCAGTAAATGCAAGTATTTCACAGGTAGTATACTGAAATATAGGATATCGACCTCCACCGTCCTCAAGTGCCCTCCACCGTCCTCATGCGCCCTCCACCGTCCTCATTCGACCCCCACTCTCCTCATTCGACCTCCACCGTCCTCATGCGACCTCCACCGTCCTCAAGCGCCCTCCACCGTCCTCATGCGCCCTCCACCGTCCTCATTCGACCTCCACCGTCCTCATGCGCCCTCCACCGTCCTCATGCGCCCTCCACCGTCCTCATGCGCCCTCCACCGTCCTCATGCGCCCTCCACCGTCCTCATTCGACCTCCACCGTCCTCATGCGACCTCCACCGTCCTCATGCGCCCTCCACCGTCCTCATGCGCCCTCCACCGTCCTCATTCGACCTCCACCGTCCTCATGCGCCCTCCACCGTCCTCATGCGCCCTCCACCGTCCTCATGCGCCCTCCACCGTCCTCATGCGCCCTCCACCGTCCTCATGCGCCCTCCACCGTCCTCATGCGCCCTCCACCGTCCTCATGCGCCCTCCACCGTCCTCATGCGCCCTCCACCGTCCTCATGCGCCCTCCACCGTCCTCATTCGACCCCCACCGTCCTCATTCGACCTCCACCGTCCTCATTCGACCTCCACCGTCCTCAAGCGCCCTCCACCGTCCTCATGCGCCCTCCACCGTCCTCATTCGACCTCCACCGTCCTCATTCGACCTCCACCGTCCTCATGCGCCCTCCACCGTCCTCATGCGCCCTCCACCGTCCTCATTCGACCTCCACCGTCCTCATTCGACCTCCACCGTCCTCATGCGCCCTCCACCGTCCTCATTCGACCTCCACCGTCCTCATGCGCCCTCCACCGTCCTCATGCGCCCTCAACCGTCCTCATGCGCCCTCAACCGTCCTCATTCGACCCCCAACGCCCTGGTTCGACCCCAACCGCCGGGCCTCAAAACCTTCTCATACAAACATTACATTCTTGCGATCATTGTGAATCAATAAGTTTCTAACTTGGCCGACAATTAAAACAATTTGCCAACGAATTTCCCAAATTTTGGCAAAATAGCCAGGATTTATGCACCTTCTAATATCACAGCTTAAAAAAATTACCTTTGTTAATCTGCACTCAGTTTTTTTTAATTACGCAGATCTCTTAACTCTTAAAAAGTTGATAATCATTCCTAAATGTTTTACGAATCTCTCAAAGGGACCCAAAAGGCAGAGGGAGGAATTTTGTGTCTTCTTACTGAAAACAAAATATAAAAATGTCCAGGTGAGGTCTGTAATTATTAACGGTACGTTGGTGGTGGTGGTGGTGGTGGGGGGGGAAGAGGGTTGTGGTGGTGGTGGTGTTGGTAGTGGTGGTGGTGGTGGTGGGGGGGAAGAGTGATGGTGGTGGTGGTGGTAGTGGGGGGGGGAAGGTTAGTGGTGGTGGTGGTGGTGGTGGTGGTAGTGGTGGTGGCGGGGAAGGTTAGTGGTGGTGGTGGTGGGGAAGATTAGTGGTGGTGGTGGTGGAAGAGGGTTGTAGTGCTGTAGAGGGAGAGTCGTGGGGTGGTGATGGTGGGGGAGAGGAAGAGCGGTTGGTGTGCCACACACACACAACACACAGACACCACAAACGATCTAAACCAACACACACACCAACACTGGACTGTGGCCTCCTCAACACTGGCACAGTGTTCATTAGTGCCGGCGCCAGGCACCGTGCTGGTGAACGGATCACTCTGCACCACGTGACACAACACACCACCTTACAACTCTCTTACCAAAGAGCTTCGCTCTCTTGAAGTCTTCGACTCTCAACTAAATGCGTGGCCCACATGCTGCACATACCAATAATCGCCAACACGCTCAAAACACCTAACCCAACCACTTGTAGGTCTATACACACAATTATACATTAATAATAATTAAGATAAAATGTAACTGCTGGTTATATGGAAGGTTACAACGGAGACCTTCTTGGGGTGAGCAGCAGCTTGGACGAGCACAGACCGAGCATATGTTGCTCTAAGTGTACTTCCCACACCTTACTCAAGGCAATTAGAAAGAGAAAGCACTTATGTTTTCATACGTGAAACAAGTATGACGATATAGCCCCTTGAAGGCATACGAGGAGCACGAGTGAAGGAACGGTACCCAATCACTTGGACCATCGGGGATCGAACTCCGACCCAGCAAGAAGCGAGGAAATCGCTGATCAGTTATACTGGTCAAGCGATGCCGAAGAGACTATTCTAAATGCAAATAATTGCAAACCAAACAAAATCAAGTTGTGGAAGTTGCCCTGGCCAACCTCCACACAACCCACACTTAATAGAATTAATTTAGGGGCAGCAGTTCCAAATATGCCAATAATATACAATAAATGAAAACTAGTTCGATTGCATTCAATTTTTTTTTGACGAGTTGTATATGAAAAGTGTTTCATGTGGTGCAAGTCTCAGCATCGTGGCATAAATAGGAAGGGAGGAAAAAAATATTGAATTATGTGTCAAAAAATTCCAAAATGGTCAAAAATTAACATCAAACACAAGTGTCAACTGAAATCATGTCTATGACTCTCGGCTATGACAATAGCATATATTAAACAAAAACAATTATAATTTGTTTTACAAAAAAAAATAGGTTAAAAAAATTGATTTTATTTTGTTTTCAATTTTATTTTTCTTATTTATTTATCGGACAATTTGCATGAAACTTATACACCTGACTGCACGTAAGCCTATCTGTAAGGGTGCCAATTTGGGAGGAAATTGGTTGATGTCAACCACAGCCATAGATGGCAGGACCATATTTTTTAATTTTTAATGATTTATTTTTCAAGTAACATAATCTGCGTCCCTACTCTTTCATTTTTATTCAATTTACATGAAACTTACACCTTATATGTAAAGCTTATGTCTCTAAAATCTAATGCCAGCGTTTTTTCCTAAGTTCATTTATTGATTTTATAATAGCAATAAACATGATATATCTGCATAATTTTGGGGGAACTTTGACTATTTGTATTAGGAAAACTAAACATATTTTTGGAAATCCTCGGCATCAGATAATTTATTAAACGCTCATGTGTCAGAAAAGTGTCATAGAATGATTATATTTGAAACTTGTGGTTGAAGGAACTTACTGAAAATGTGTAATATTCGTTGAAAAAAAATAAATTAAATCCCCCTTTCTATTTAGGCTGAAGTACTGAAACTTGGGACAACTGCAGAACTTTTCTTATACAACTAGTCATAAAAGATTTGTTGACATTGAACAAAATTTAAAAAATTAACTCATGGCCCCTGAGTACCACAAGCCAGTCTTCCTATACAACCACTCACCCCAAGCCAGTCTACCCTATACAACCACTCACCACAAGCCAGTCTCCCTATACAACCACTCACCACAAGCCAGTCTCCCTATACAACAACTCACCACAAGCCAGTCTCCCTATACAACCACTCACCACAAGCCAGTCTCCCTATACAACCACTCACCACAAGCCAGTCTTCCTATACAACCACTCACCACAAGCCAGTCTACCCTATACAACCACTCACCACAAGCCAGTCTTCCTATACAACCACCCACCACAAGCCAGTCTTCCTATACAACCACCCACCACAAGCCAGTCTACCCTATACAACCACTCACCACAAGCCAGTCTTCCTATACAACCACCCACCACAAGCCAGTCTACCCTATACAACCACTCACCACAAGCCAGTCTCCCTATACAACCACTCACCACAAGCCAGTCTTCCTATACAACCACTCACCACAAGCCAGTCTTCCTATACAACCAATCACCACAAGCCAGTCTACCCTATACAACCACTCACCACAAGCCAGTCTACCCTATACAACCACTCACCACAAGCCAGTCTACCCTATACAACCACTCACCACAAGCCAGTCTACCCTATACAACCACTCACCACAAGCCAGTCTACCCTATACAACCACTCACCACAAGCCAGTCTTCCTATACAACCATCCACCACAAGCCAGTCTACCCTATACAACCACTCACCACAAGCCAGTCTTCCTATACAACCATCCACCACAAGCCACTCTACCCTATACAACCACTCACCACAAGCCAGTCTACCCTATACAACCACTCACCACAAGCCAGTCTACCCTATACAACCACTCACCACAAGCCAGTCTTCCTATACAACCACTCACCACAAGCCAGTCTACCCTATACAACCACTCACCACAAGCCAGTCTACCCTATACAACCACTCACCACAAGCCAGTCTTCCTATACTACCACTCACTACAAGCCAGTCTACCCTATACAACCACTCACCACAAGCCAGTCTACCCTATACAACCACTCACTACAAGCCAGTCTACCCTATACAACCACTCACTACAAGCCAGTCTACCCTATACAACCACTCATCACAAGCCAGTCTACCCTGTACAACCACTCACCACAAGCCAGTCTTCCTATACAACCATCCACCACAAGCCAGTCTTCCTATACAACCATCCACCACAAGCCAGTCTACCCTATACAACCACTCACCACAAGCCAGTCTTCCTATACAACCATCCACCACAAGCCAGTCTCCCTATACAACCACTCACCACAAGCCAGTCTACCCTATACAACCATCCACCACAAGCCAGTCTCCCTATACAACCACTCACCACAAGCCAGTCTACCCTATACAACCATCCACCCCAAGCCAGTCTACCCTATACAACCACTCACTATAAGCCAGTCTACCCTATACAACCACTCACTATAAGCCAGTCTTCCTATACAACCAAGCTCTTAAAATAATAAGGCATTATCTACTTTAAATTCAGTATCAAATATTGAAATAATTGATATTTTATATATTACCAAAACGGTGAGAAATCTGATGGAATTAATTCCTGAATCAAACCGTCGTGGAATTCAAATACGCTGATGATTGATGTGGAGAGCCCGACCATTTATTTGATCCATATTTCATAAGAAAAAATGTTTAAGTCTTAGCTAGTGATAAATCTCTCGCATGATCCACTGTGATGCGTTCGAATTGTTCCCTAGCTTCGGACCCGCTGTGATGTGTTCGAATTGTTCCCTAGCTAGGGACCCGCTGTGATGTGTTCGAATTGTTCCCTAGCTTCGGACCCGCTGTGATGTGTTCGAATTGTCCCCTAACTAGGGACCCACTGTGATCCCTAGAGCCATTACTCTCTCGTGTAATACATCGCATTTAGACGTCAAACTCCCCAACGGGCAAACTATGATGTACTCTAAAACACTGCGGCTCACAAACATTCATGCTTTCTGCGTCTGGGTGTTCGGGTCGGGCAGTTTAGTACGTTATTTTCTGATCGTTGTGACAACTGTGAGGACGGGCAGGGTGCTTAAACCCCCATGAGATTATCTCAAGATAACCCATCCCCGCCCCCCTCCCTCCCTCCCTCTCAGTGTACTGTGTCAACGGTGAAAGTAATCACCCTGTCACAAACTACTAATTAACTTTTCTCAGGCCACTAATAATTTCCCCAAGACTTAAGAATATAGGAAACTCCATAAGAGCCAGCTCCTATTGGTCCATAAGAGCCAGCTCCTATTGGTCCATAAGAGCCAGCTCCTATTGGTCCATAAGAGCCAGCTCCTATTGGTCCATAAGAGCCAGCTCTTGTTGGCACAAAAAAGCCATCAGCTGTTATTGGCATACAAAAGACAGTTCCTATTGGTCCATGCTAGGAAGCTCTTGTTAATGTATACAAAGCTATTGTAAACACCTATCCGAACTCATTCATATACATGTCTAACCTCATGCTTGAAACAAACCAAACGATCCAAAATAATTACAAATTTATGTCAAATAACTAAATGAAAATTCAATAGTTTTAACGATGTGAATTCTTGTGAGAAATTCATTATTCGGCTGTATTGACTTTGATGTTCGTGTGAACCGCGTCAAACGATGTCTGAAAGGCTTCGAACGATGTCAAAGGCATCAAACATTGTCTGCATGGCGTCAAATA